CCCCAAAACCCCAAAACCCCAAAACCCCATAAACTTGAAGAGAGTTCAAATTAAGTGTCTGTATAAAATGTATATTAATCAAAAGAATAGGTTCATAGTCATATTATATATGATTCAAAATTGCATTCACCAAAATGGACTGTTTCGCTTACTTATTTCTCGTTCTTGAGCATTTTAAAGATTGTTCATAGGACTTTGTTTCATCATTAGATCTTTTTATAACAGATTCTTTGGTTAAACTTACTGAAAATTCTTCTCATTGTTTTGTTTAAACATACCCTTATGTTCAGATCCTGTAAGTCCTATTCTATCTGCTGGTGGCTAGCTTAAGTTTTTCTTAATTGAGCTTTAAATTTCACTATTCACGACACTCCTACTGTGAATATAAACTTAATCCAAAATTTTTTGTCTTTGAATTAAAAGACCCTCATCATTCTTTTTAGATTATTCGCTCAACATAATTGCACTTTAATTTACTTAGATTTATGGCAATCTCAATTCAGCAAAGAAGTCTTTTTTAGGTCCACTTGAGGATTATTAATGATGTGCTTACTTAGATTAAGAGCTGTTTTTAAGATATTCGCTTAATCTGTTATTTGATGATAAATCTCGGGATGTTGGCTCGGTACTTAATTTCTGACCACTTTTGTTCTGCTAACTACTCTTTGAATAGTCTGGATAAATATTTCCTTGTTTAGGTTGTATATTATTGAGATTTATATTGATTTTTTCATCTTTTAAGTTCTGATTTAGTACTTTCTACTAAATAATGATTCTTTTTGCATCCATATTTTCGTTTCTGCTCTGATTAATAATCTGATCAGCTTTTGAGGCAGAATCCTGAATTCCAATCCTCAAATCTCTTACTAATTATGGGAAAACCTCTAATGCGGGTACACTTGATAAGCGATCGTGCTTATGAGTACTTTGCTTAATCTTTTCTCTGGATGAAATATAGTTAGATTTTGGTAAATTTTTTGTTAATTATGCCAAGTTTCTAGGAACTTTTATGGTACTTAGAAGATTATTGTTATCCATATTAAGGTATAATTCCTAAATATTTTCAGGCTATTCTTGGTATTAACCTTGGGCCAGGTGTAACCTCTTTTTAACTATTTCCATTTTTAAGATTGTATCACAAGATGGGCGGATTGAGGGAGAGACTTATAGTAGAGATTTAATCATCTGATTTAATTCATGAGAGTAGTTACTTGGTATTTGAGGATAAATACCCTTGCACACCTTTTAGTACAACTGATTCATGTCTTTTGCTTAGAATGGAGGCTTGAGCGTTGTCATTTCATATAATACACAACCTAAAGACCAGATATCACTCTTACTATCATAAGCAGAATCTTTCCAAACTTCAGGAGAAGCATAGTAGGGGGTTCCTGTTTATGTATATAAAAGACCTTTTGCAGCTACTTTCGAAACATTTAAGTCTCCAAGCTTAGCAGTTCCATCTTTAAACAAAAACACATTAGCACACTTTAAATCTCTATGGAATATTTTCATCGAGTGGAGCATTCTTAAAGCTCTAACCATTGAAATAAGGATTCCCCAAATCATATTTTCACTCATGACAGTTCTTTTTTATGTATGATTCTTGATTTTTTCATAGAGATCTCCATCATTAGCATATTCCATTACCAAACAGAGTGATGAAGAGCTATCTTCAAAGAATGCTTCCTTATAACCGATAATATTTGGATGACTATCATAATTAATTATGAATATATTACTTGATTGAAGCTAAAATCCTGACTTCATTAAGAGCATTCTGCTTTTCTTTTTCATTCAAGGCCATCATTTTCACCTAAATGGATAATGAAATACGATAAAATGAGACAAACCTTTTTCAGAGCATATTCCTAACCGTCAGATATTCTTTTCACCTTGTAAACTAAACTATATGCTCCATCACCTACATCAATTCTTGAGTTATTCAATTTTGTTGAATTTAAAAGGGAGGTTACCAATTTTATTGATGATCTGAAAATCCTTCATAGACATTCTTTATCTAAAATTATTTTGAAATTGTAAATATATACTACTATAAATAAAATATATTAGAAAATCCGAGGAGAATAAATATTAATTCCCCTATCTCTGATCTAATACCTCTGATTAATCAATTAAATTAAACTCAAATTCTTATTAACTCTATTCTCCTATTGGGGTTTTGGGGTTTTGGGGTTTTGGGG